CCAGTTGTACAAGTTGTGATCAACACAAAACGTAAACAAAACCTGGCTATATGTCTGTCCAACTGTAAGTCACCTCTTTCATATTAAATGCACCCACAATCATTATATATCATTTTGTTCAGGAGAAACAGGACTTTCATCAAATATTTATATGTTAAACATAATTTAATATGAATAAAATGTAAAAAAAATGTAAAAGTAAGATTTTTTTTTATTATTTCTTTAGTACTACATGGCATTTTAACTGTGAATGTCATACTCCTGTTAGCTGTTACTACAATAAAATGCACATATTTGTATTCAGTGAAGTCTCACAAGTACAATAGCACCCCCAGAATACAGGTTTTATAGTGTTTTGGAAAGTTACAGGGTCAAATTTAGCACATTACATTTTTTAGTTTATACACATTGAAATTTGCCAGAAGTGTTATTTTGCCTTTGAGACCGTATGGTAGCCCAGGAATGAAAATTGCCCCAATGATAGTATACCATTTGCAAAAGTAGACAACTCAAGGTATTCCAAATGGGGTATGTCCAGTCTTTTTTAGTAGCCACTTAGTCACAAACACTGATCAAAGTTAGCATTCTAATTTATATGTGTGTGAAAAATGCAAAAAACTGATTTGAATGCTAATTTTGGCCAGTGTTTGTGACAAAGTGGCTACTAAAAAAGACTGGACATACCCCATTTATAATAACTTGGGTTGTCTACTTTTGCAAATGGTATGCCATCATGGGGGTAATTCTCATTCCTGGGCTACCATACGGTCTCAAAGGCAACATAAACAATCTGACGAATTTTAATGTGAAAAAAATGGAAATGCAAGTCTTCTATTATACTGTGTTAATTTAGAAAAAAACATAAAACCTGTACATGGGGGGTACTGTTATACCCAGGAGACTTCACTGAACACAAATATTAGTGTTTCCAAACATTACAACTTATCACAACAATTATATCATCAGTGAAAGTGCCTTTTTAAGCATTTTTCACACACAAACAGCACTTTCACTGTTGATATAATTGTTGTGATAAGGTGTAATGTTTGGAAACACTAATATTTGTGTTCAGCGAAGTCTCCCGAGTATAACAGTACCCCCCAATGTAAAGGTTTTAGGATTTCTTGGAAAGTTACAGGGTTAAATATAGGACTTGCGAACCATATTCTCTGGACTTTCTGACTGGGTTGTGTGGCAAGTTCCTCAAATTGTAATTATTGAAATGACTTAATCATGTAAAAATATTATATAAATATATATGTAGAATTTAAATATATATGTATATATATATATTTATGTATAAATATGTTTATACATTTTTTTTAATATTATTTTTTTATGTATAGATATAAATTTATATATATATATATATTTATAACATCATACTAAATGTATTTTGATTTTAATATATATGTATATTAATATCAAAATACAGTTAGAGCGAAAGTATACAGGTATATAAAAAAATGAATTTAAATTATAAAAAATTTTTTCAATTTTCTTATTGATTATTTTATTTTATATATATATAAAATTATAATTATATATATATATATTTAATGTCATTGTAAGTGTTAATATGTATATTAATATTACAATAAACTTAGAATAATAGTTTATGTGTATGTGTATGTGCATATAAAAGTACTTAGATCATATACATATACATATATAAATAGTGATGTCCCGAACGGTTCGCCGAACGGTTCACGAACGGTTCGCCACGGACTCATCATTGAGTAAACTTTGACCCTGTACCTCACAATCAGCAGACACATTCCAGCCAATCAGCAGCAGACCCTCCCTCCCAGACCCTCCCACCTCCTGGACAGCATCCATTTTGAAGTTGCATTCTTAGTGAGCTGTCCAGGAGGTGGGAGGGTCTGGGAGGGAGGGTCTGCTGCTGATTGGCTGGAATGTGTCTGCTGACTGTGAGGTACAGGGTCAAAGTTTACTCAATGATGAGTCCGTGGCGAACCGTTCGCGAACCGTTCAGCGAACCGTTCGGGACATCACTATATATAAATGATCTATGTACTTTAATTTACTTAAATGGCGTGGGGTCGGCGGGGACCCAGTAAGTCCCCTGGACAGCGGGGACATTCTATGCCGCCCTCCGGTGTTTAGGACCACCATAAGAAGGACGGCATAGAACCCCCACCATCCTTAGTGGGTTAACGATGTTAGAATAAACTTTGGACTTTTAACATGAACCATGAGGGCAGCCACCTTAATACTTTATTTGTATATTGAAGCCCTGGTTATATTGCACCGGGCCATTTATGTGATTACAGCTTGAATGCAAAGATTCATAGGCTGACAGACAGACTTTCTTTTGTTCTTTTAAAAAAAAAAAAAAATCCTAATTACAAATTTTAGAGCAAAGTAGCTAACCTGTTGCAATCTCTCTGAGAGTTTAGAACTAGGTGCCAGTACGATTGTGGTAAGAACAAAAATGATAACCCGCCCCCACAGTGCAAATAGAACAATTAATGCAATTAATGTTATGTATCACTGTATGTCTTAAGTTAGACTTTGAAAATAACTTTATGTATGGATCACAACCAATGCTATGGATAATTGAAAACAAAAATATTAGAAATAATACTAATCCTGCATTTAGAACGGTATCCATCAATAAGGGTATCTGCAGAAATGCAGGGTAAGGTGTGAAACACAATGCCTATCTGTGCTCATTTGCATGTCAAGCTGGGAACTCTGGATAGTTGTGGAATTATGAATTCTCAAGTTCCTGAAACTAAAAAAGACTTTTCAAAAGGATTGCTTGAGGATATACAGGTGAGGCATAACAATATTTTTTTATATTTGCACTGTGGAGTGTCTGATTGTGTTTGACCTCACCACAATTTTTATGGCACTTTGCTATACACTGAGAGGTGTATACCAAGTGACTATTATTGTCTGAGGATGATTTCTGGTTACCAAACTTTCTAGATTACAATCCCTGCTATGGTCAGAAAAAACTGTATGTAAACTAGGCTTTATTGCTGAAAGTAACTAAAGAAATAAGTATTGAAGTCTGAAACACAATGCATGTCTGCCTATTTGTATGTCAATCTGGAAATACACATCTGTGTTTTGTATTTAGTTTTTTTTATTGAAAAGCACAATAAATAAAGAGATACAATCTAAAATGTAGCCTTTATTTGCATTGTATCCTAAAAAAATGTAATTAGAAATTAATAATAAACCAAATTCGAAAAAGTATACTTTAACAACATAAATTGTTATTGTAGAGAACTAAATCTATCATTTTTCTAATGAATTAAACCCAACCTATTCAAAGGTGGTAGGTAAATTATTTTTGTCATTTGTGTCTAGTAAAGCTATTTCCAGTGGTATCTTATAACAGGGGTAGAATAAATCAGACACGTAGTTCTCATCTTAACACCTAGGAGTCATCATGGTCAATGCTAAATAATGATAGCAGTTTAAATAGGGATTCTAATACGGGCAGAGGTACAACAACTATGTAATAATATCCAACTAACAGTAGGACTCACTCTCATTCGAGTGCCAAACAAACTCCATTATTAAAACAGCCATTTTTACTGCACACTATGGCTCCTCCACTATTACTTACTATTAAAAAAAGCATCCCATTCTGCGCTCTCCCTAATCATTCAAGTTCTATGTAAAACAGGTGATCACTATGTCCACAATCTTACACGATCCAAAACTAATCAAATGGGGCCACCTACAGAAATCTTGCTATACTTTACCTACAATAATTGGTGCCCTGTGAAAGTCTTGGATCAATACTGCCATTCCTTTGCAGTTTACCCCAGAAAGACTCCACTCCTACCTCTACATTGAAAACCAATTCTGCTAAATTCATGTGGTATGTTAGGACTTTATTGGTTTGATTAGGTATGGATCCTTCTTCCTTTTCAGGACACTCGTTTATACTCTGTGCAGCTTCTGCTGCGTCTAGCAAGAATGTCCCAGTAATATGGTTAAGAGATTTCCAAGATTTGGCTATATAATGTGTGCATTTCGTAATAAAGTTGCGTTTTCAAAAATAATTTTGCCTTATTTACAGGTCTACCCAATCGTCCCTTCCGGCAAACCACAACCGACTTGTTCATTTAAGTCACGGTCTTTGTCCCTGACCACAAATAAATATTTATATATATATAGTGGATGGTAAATGCATTGTTAAACACAGATATGCATACATCAGACTTCCTTTTCCAACAAAAATCTCATATTTGTAGTGCTGTTACTACTGCAAGGGATTCTAAGTGGGCATATGCAAATTAGGCCAACAAAGGACCATCTTTTTGCCTCATTTATTTATGTTTACACATGAATTCCTTGGAGTACATATATGCTGTACACAACAGCTTTGAAATACAACCCAAAGAAATGCAAAGTCAGAAAACCACTCATAGAGTGCTTACTCATTGTTAAGGCAACTAGCCACCTTGATGACAGACGTGTGCTTGAGGCTTTGGGTTACCTGTGGAGCACAAACCCAGACATTTAAGGTGGCATAAAAGGTGATTGAAAAACCCTATAACCTAATAATCAGTGGATAATAAATACAGTGTTATACACATTTGCATACACCAAACAATCCATAAGACTTGCATTTCCCTCAGAAATCTCATATTTTTTTAATAAAATTTATTTATAAAATATTTTACCAGGAAAGATACCTTGAGATTTCACTTGTTTTCAAGTATGTAGTAGATTGGGACTTTGACTTTCTTGCTCAAGTTGAACAATTACATTTGTATTGTGGATAGTTTTCCTTTTAAGCTTACTAGCTATGTTTTTTTTAGCATGTCTTGTAACAAAACCACATGAACTCTTCTTATCGAGAGTTATTGAGAAACCCAAACTAAACTTCACACATAATTATTGATCTGTATTCAACATCATAAAAACCAGCTTTAATTTATTTGCTTAGTGATCTGAACATCTAACATAACTAATTTGCATTCTATTTTCTCATTTATAAATGTTGGTTCCTAATCAGACAGGTAATGTGCTAAGTCGTAACAAGGACAGATGCACATTTCACGCAAACGCATGACATTGCCAGTCATCATGTGTAAGAACCAGAAGGATCAAACCATGAATGACAGCTGCAAAATCCCAATGTAAAGAAACCATTAAGTAGCTTGTAGTTAAAACATAAAAATAATCCTATTAAATAAAGCTGATTACACATTGTAAATAATGCAAACAGTATTAGTAATTAATTAATTAATTAATTTGCAATTAAAATTTAAACAAACTACAAAAGAAAGCTATTTTTCTTTCATTTAATATTTTTCTTATAGTGCAGACATCAACATAGAGCTCCCTCTGGTGGCAGAATAATAATAGTTTTTTTTCAGTACAACTAGTTAACTACTGTTGCGACCCCTTGTGGCCATTCGGCATTACTGCACCACATTATCAATATGAACCAGCATCAGTGATCTTAAGGGTTAACATTCTAGCATTGGGAAGACCTCTGGCGGGCATACTATATTATTGCACATCATCAATATTATCAATTAGTTTCAAATAAGGATATCCACTATGTTAGTTTTTTTTATATAGTGACATCAGGACTATTTTGCCTATTATCCACTATGGTACTCTTTGGAAAGTAGATTTGGACTTTGACTTTCTTGCTCAAGTTGAACAATTACATTTGTATTGTGGATAGTTTTCCTTTTAAGCTTACTAGCTATGTTTTTTTTAGCATGTCTTGTAACAAAACCACATGAACTCTTCTTATTGAGAAACCCAAACTAAACTTCACACATGATTATTGATCTGTATTCAATATCATAAAAAACAGCTTTAATTTATTTGCTCAGTGATCTGAACATCTAACATAACGAATTTGCATTCTAGTTTTTTCACTTGTAAATGTTGGTTCCTAATCAGACAGGTAATGTGCTAAGTCGTAACAAGGACAGATGCACATTTCACGCAAACGCATGACATACCCAGTCATCATGTGTAAGAACCAGAAGGATCAAACCATGAATGACAGCTGCAAAATCCCAATGTAAAGAAACCATTAAGTAGCTTGTAGTTAAAACATAAAAATAATTCTATTAAATAAAGCTGATTACACATTGTAAATAATGCAAACAGTATTAGTAATTAATTAATTAATTAATTTGCAATTAAAATTTAAACAAACTACAAAAGAAAGCTATTTTTCTTTCATTTAATATTTTTCTTATAGTGCAGACATCAACATAGAGCTCCCTCTGGTGGCAGAATAATAATAGTTTTTTTTCAGTACAACTAGTTAACTACTGTTGCGACCCCTTGTGGCCATTCGGCATTACTGCACCACATAATCAATATGAACCAGCATCAGTGATCTTAAGGGTTAACATTCTAGCATTGGGAAGACCTCTGGCGGGCATACTATATTATTGCACATCATCAATATTATCAGTTAGTTTCAAATAAGGATATCCACTACGTTAGTTTTTTTTATATAGTGACATCAGGACTATTTTGCCTATTATCCACTATGGTACTCTTTGGAAAGTAGATTTGGACTTTGACTTTCTTGCTCAAGTTGAACAATTACATTTGTATTGTGGATAGTTTTCCTTTTAAGCTTACTAGCTATGTTTTTTTTAGCATGTCTTGTAACAAAACCACATGAACTCTTCTTATTGAGAGGTTTTGAGAAACCCAAACTAAACTTCACACATGATTATTGATCTGTATTCAATATCATAAAAACCAGCTTTAATTTATTTGCTTAGTGATCTGAACATCTAACATAACGAATTTGCATTCTAGTTTCTCATTTATAAATGTTGGTTTCTAATCAGACAGGTAATGTGCTAAGTCGTAACAAGGACAGATGCACATTTCACACAAACGCATGACATTGCCAGTCATCATGTGTAAGAACCAGGAGAATCAAACCATGAATGACAGCTGCAAAATCCCAATGTAAAGAAACCATTAAGTAGCTTGTAGTTAAAACATAAAAATAATTCTATTAAATAAAGCTGATTACACATTGTAAATAATGCAAACAGTATTAGTAATTAATTAATTAATTAATTAATTTGCAATTAAAATTTAAACAAACTACAAAAGAAAGCTATTTTTCTTTCATTTAATATTTTTCTCATAGTGCAGACATCAACATAGAGCTCCCTCTGGTGGCAGAATAATAATAGTTTTTTTCAGTGCAATTATTTAACTACTGTTGCGACCCCTTGTGGCCATTCGGCATTACTGCACCACATTATCAATATGAACCAGCATCAGTGATCTTAAGGGCTAACATTCTAGCATTGGGAAGACTCTGGCGGTCATACTATATTATTGCATATCATCAATTCGTTTCAAATAAGGTAATCAGGACTATAATGTCTTGTAATGAAACCTCGCAATCTCTTATCAAGAGTAATTGCATACAATTCAATATCATAAAAAACAGCTTTACTTTATTTGCTTATGGATCTAAACCACTAAGGTAGCTACTTAACATTTTAATTTGTCACTCTTTCTTTGAATATTGGTTCTTAAGCAGATAGGTAATATGCCAGCTCATAACAAGAACAAACATACATTACACGCAAATACATGAAACCCTATCTCCAAGATCATCATATATAAGAACCAGAAGGTGCAAATGGAGAATGAACGCTCCACCCCCTCTGATGTCACGCAATGAGCGAGCTCTAATGCGCGCATTAGACCTCCCCATAGGAAAGCTTTCAATCAATGCTTTCCTATGGGGAAAAATCTGACGCTGTACGTCCTCATGCAGTTTTGCAGTTAAAATTACAAAGTACAAAAGAAAGCTATTTTTCTTTCATGTAATATATGCACACACTGTAAACTATCACAACTCAAATCTCAGATTTGCAATGGCCACTGACCCTTTTTTTTTCTTATAAGAGTCATAAACACCAGAGCTCTATTACCAACTATGTTCTGTTCAATAATATTTCTCACAATTGCCTCAGGAGTGGCAACAGATGTTTAGTGAGCTATTTTGTTTAGTACTCTCTCTGAACTGCCTCAGTAAGTGTTTTTCCATTCTTCATATTTAACAATATTTTTTCTGGTCCTGCTCTCACAAGAAGTGTTCTTTTGCAGATGGCGTTAGTGCCATTAGTCAATGCAAACCAGAGGTTGTCTGGCTGACTATAGTGTCCCTTTAAGAATCACTATACCAAAATATCCCTTTCTTTTTTTCTGTTAGTCAACATAGAGCCCCCTTTGGTGGCACTTTGATATTTTTTTCACTACAAATATTTAAGTACTGTAGAGATCCCTTGTGGCCATACAGCATTATGGAACTATATTGTCAATATGAACCAATATCAGTTATCTTTAGGGCTAGGATTCCAAGATTGGGAAGACCTCTGGTGGCCATACTATATTAATGCATTTTACAAACAAAAAACCCCGGCAGGGTCAACTACTAAGCCCTTCATCCTTCCAAGGTCGATAAAATGAGTCCCATCAATTGGATAATAATAACATCTATTACTATCTATTACTATTCAGCTGCCGATTTGGTTTATTCCAAGAGCATGTGCTGAAAAACACTTTGAGTCCCACTGGGAGAAAGGTGCTATATAAATACTAGTTATTATTATTATCATCATTTTTCAGTACTAATATTTAAATACTGTAGCAATCCCTTGTGGCCAGACAGAATTACAGAACCATATTATCAATATGAACTAACATCAGTGATCTTTAGGGCTACGATTCCAAGATTGGGAAGACCTCTGGTGGCCATACTATATTAATGCACTTTACTAAAAATAGCAATTAGTTTCAAAGATAGCGACTACACTAATTTGTTTAATACAGAGTCATCTGGACTCTTTCATCTATTATTCACCATGACACTCATTGTGAAGTAGATTTGTACTTTGACTCTTACTCAAGTTAAACTGTTAAGTTTCTATTGTGAAAAGGTCTTTTTTTTATCAATTCGTTTATTATAAAAGTTAAATTGTATCTTTAAATAATGCAATGTTTATCAAAATAACTAGTGGTCAATCTGGAGCTAAAAACCCTTGGTCCGCTGTTAGATCAGTCTGACCATTGAGACTCACGCTTTCATAAACACATTAAAATTTTACTCCCATGGAATACTCACAAATAGATCGCATGCTCCCTAGAATATTTGGCTAATAATGAAAAACTTATTTTGGAAATCAAATACTAAAAAAAAAAAAATGCTATTTTAGAACTATAAAGTAACTTGAATCTTTGGATACAGTTGTTGAGTGCTATACAACACTAAACTGAAAAATCATATTATTCTGCCTTCCTTCTATTTTAAATAACTTCCTGACATTCAACCGTTTTACTCTTTCGGGTTATGCTGGTTCTTAATCAGACAGGTAATGTGCCAAGTCGTAACAAGGACGGATGCACATTTCACGCAATCGCATGACATACCCAGTCATCATGTGTAAGAACCAGAAGGATCGAATTGTGATTGAAAACTGCGATATCCCAATGTGAAGGACCCCTTAGTTAGCTTGTGGTGATAACAAATAAAGAAGATAATCCTAATAAATAAAGCTGATCAAACATTATAATTAATGAAAACAGTATTGTGTAATTCATGAACGAAATTGTAGTTAAAATTTTAAAAAGTACAAAAGATAGCTGTTTTACTTTCCTATAATATATGCACGGACTGCAGCCAATCACAGCGGAGAGATCACACTTGCGACTCTCATAGGCTCTCTTTTTTTTTTTTTTTCAACAAGTGTCGTAAACACCATTTCCAAGTCCGAACACCGGCAGATGTTTAGTGAGTGGCGACAGATGTTTCGCGATCTCTTGTGTTTCGCACTCTCTCTTTGCAGTCTCGGCGTTCTCCACGTTCCATGACGTTGTTTCTGGTCGAACTCTCGCGAGCAGTGTTCTTTTTGCAGATGGCGGCGCAGTGAGTGCTCACGCGTGGTTGAGTTACTGCCGGGTACTCGGTTGATTGATACACGGGTGACGTGGAGCCGCCAGGATGCAGCACGACGATGTGAGCAGAGATATTGGCTGTGTTTAATGTGATCTGATGGGGGACCAGGTTGTGGAGGTTAAATGTAATAAGGTGTCAG